AGCAAATTTTTGAACTCCGGAAAAGGTCTGAGCAAAAGCACAGGGCAATTACCTTTCTTTCATCGACACCACTTTATCCATCACTAAAAATATTACTGGGATGGTAGGTCCTTTGCAATCTTGGAGGTGACATCACATTTTCCACTTTTAATTCATTTCAACTTAAAGGCCCCCTGAAATAATAATTTGCCTTTCACAGATAGGTGTACTTCACACAGCCATTTACTGAAAAGGTATTGATGTCAGGGTATGGTGTATATAAAAAAGCAGACCCTAGCTATAATTAAGCCTAAACTTCCTTTTATACTGCACCTCCTTTATCAATTTTCTCGCTTTATAACAACCACTTGAGGATGACATTCAGAATGTTAGTAGCTCCCAGATGATCTTTTCTCAACAATATGCAATCACTGTTTACACTTTAAAGTGTGTCACTTTAGCCTGCCACATTTTTCATCTTTAATCCTTCTTTTTATGAGAGAGAAGTAGCCTCCAGTGTTACATTCAGCAGTACCAGTTCAGATCAAGAGATCAATGACTCAACAACGACATCCACTGGCCTACCTCAAAATATCAGCCAAAAGAATCATTCAGTGTTGGCAGAAACCTGCTTTTGCTAGGAGGCAGGTTGGCAGCATTTTAGCCTTTTAGCAAGATGTCCTGTTACTGAGTGTGAGTTTACTTGATGTATTGTAAATGAAAAATTAGACTTACATGGAGCACTTATTACATTCATACTAAAGGACTGAAAAAAAATCCCTTTGGAAATCTGATGGGGAAAATGGTTTGAATCCTCAAGTTTTTAGGCAAAATTCAAGAATGAATGCTGGGTAAAGACTTTAGGATCAGGCCCTATGTTAAAAATACTGTACCATACATGTGAGGATATAGTTAGTGTTTCCTTAAAACTGCAGCAAGCTTTAGAGTAAACCGGGGGGGGGGGAGGGAAGGGAAGGGAGAGAGAGAGAGAGAGAGAGAGAAGCCTTAGGGATAGCACTGTTTGCCTTATTCTAATAATGCGTCTATTCTAGTGCTAGAAGAAAGCTGCTCTTTGTGATTCTTTACCACTGTCACCAGACAAGATGTCTGCCTGAAACACATGTGGAAGGAAGGATCAACCTGAAAGTACTTGATCTGCAAAATTGGAAACTTGAGCTGTTCTGACTGGGCACAGGTCACATGGTACACTTTTGCTGCCTGATTGGATGAGTGTAACTTTAGAATCAGATTTCTGCTGTGCATATTTGCATATAGTAATTCAAAATTTGCATTTTGCTAATATTCTGCAATATTTGCAGAACAGTCATTGATTTGGGTGACCACTCCTGCTAGAAAAACTCATAAGGTAGATTATTAGTGGAAAGCAATTACAAAAGAGATACAAACATAGTGAAACTACTGTATACACTTCAATGAGTATTGACAAATTCTGTGATAATGACTTTTTAAATGACTGTTTTGTAACTCTTCACATATATGATTTCAGCCATAAACTCTTTGGATGGGAATAGGTATGAACGGCCAGGCTGGTAGTACCACCTATTAAAGGTAGCCCAACACTTGCCATTATGAAACTTTGTGTTTAGTTGCTTATAACTTTGCTAAACTATAAATACGTGGTCCAAAATTTGCCATGCTGAGAGTCTGCCTCAGGCTGAATCTTTTTGGAAATTTTCAGTCAAAATTCAGAAAACTGTTTCTGAGGATGGGGCAAGGGAAAAATATATTGCTTTGCCCTTTGTGTTTTTTAAAATTCTGACCTTTTCTTTGAACAGCTCTAGCACCCCCATGCTTTGGAGCAGTGCCTTGAAATGTGGCAGAAGGTTAACCTTTGTATCCGGGATATGGCTTTTGCCATTCCCATGGGAATTCACTCAAATTTGGCCAAATTATAAGCTTTTTTTAAAAAAAAAAATCACAGTTCACACTTGCCCAATAAAGATGTCTTCGATTTTTAGCAGCTAAATCTTCTGAAGATTCCAGATTTTTTTTTAAAAAAATCTTTCCCTTATTAAAAAAAATCTAAATTTTGAAATTCAAAACATGTCAACAAGATTTATTGTTCAAAAACATGGGGATATATGAAAATGTTAAGACATTTTTCTATTTTTTTTGTTAATTTTGAAATGTCATCAAAAATTTGCAACTCGAAAACATTCAACCAGTTGCACTATATACACATAGACACATATTGAGTATACTATTGGATTGTTATAGATACTTTTCTTATTTTACTATACTTTGACAAATATAGTAAAATAAAATAGTAAATCTATGACTTGGCTTGTCAAATGAAGAGGGAAAAATAGCACCTTTTAATCTACTAGAGCCTTTAACTCTTGCCTGGTCAGGGTTCAGCCCTGATCAGTTTCCAGTATGCTAACATGCTGATGATGTTTGGCCAATATGTCTTTAGTTTTACATTCAATATGCCTATGGAAAAACCAGCTTCTTCAAACCCTTACTCATGCGAGGTAATCCCTAAGATCAACAGAATTACTTGGGTGAGTAAGGCTTTGAATTATTGCGTCCCAAAAGACCTATTCAGGAGAAGAGGATATCTCTTTAAGAGACTCGCATTCATGTAAGAAAACATGGAAACATTTAACCCAGCAAAACAAATTGATTTTGTGGATCTCAATGATTGTACTTAATTAGGAGGTTTTATTGGAAAAATCCACAAAAAAGGAGAGAGAAAAAACCCAGTGTCTTTGAAACAAAGATGCATTAGAGCAGAATGTCAGGATTCATTTATGAAATCACGGCTGCAATAAACAATGTTTCACTGTAAGAACCCAATTTATAGTATTTGTCATAAAAAAGCAAACACTTTGGGGGCCGCTTTTGTGACACAATGTCGTACCATGTGATGCTGCAAGCCGGCAGACACAACAATAGATCAGCAGAGGCAGCTTTCTCATGCTATTTTTGGGCAGTAAATTCTTTTGAACTTCAAATGTTTCATGGTTCTTATTTCAGAAGCAGGACCTGATATTTAGACCCATTCACTCTTAGCTCTGAATTTTGTCAACTGCTTAGAGAATATGACACCACACAGAGCTGGTTGCTTCTAATATATGAGAAGATTGGATGATCTGCAACTAAAAGAAACTTTAATGGCAATATACAGTGGGATGTTTGACATGGAAAAGGCCGAATAGATCGTTGAGTCCATTGCAATTGAAGGCAGGTTGTGGTTCCCAGAACAGGATATGTCAATTGCTATTCATTTTTACTACACTTTACCTTAATTAATACATTATTACATAACTCCCTGATCTTCAAACAGGCGTAGGCATAACTTTACACATATGCAAGCCCACTGATCTCAGTACTCCTGTGAGGAAAGTGTTTGCAGGTCTGGGACTTAAGAAAATCACTGCACTCTGATTCAGTTATGGAAGCATTTTGAAAGAAAAATTAATCCCCTGCCCCAGTGAGGTTAAGCATTTATTTAAATATTTTAGTCAAATTTAAATTAAAGGATCCCAAAGACTTTTAAATTTATAGTGCCCCACAGAATTTAAAAAAAAAATTAATAGTGTTTTCTTTTTAATGACCTTGACCACAAATATTCATTTTAAATGGGAGAGTTTGGGGAAGGAAGTGTTCTGGAAATTTTCATCATATGCAGTGATGCCTGCAAAAGCACACTGTTAAGTACTCTTTAAATACACTATATCTTAACCTCTATTGCTTGATTGTTTCTTAGGAGCTTGAAAAGAAATTTTTTGTCTCAAATAACTTTGTTCTTTTCCGTTTGGTCAACATTTTGTGTATGCACATGCATGCAAATGGAACTGAAATCAGCATGGTGGTTCTTGTTTAGTTCCTCATTTGTGTGTACGGTCATCACTGGTTATGTCAGCACAAAACTGTGATTATCCTGACCTTATGATCTCAATGGGGGTCTTGCTGTTGACTTCAAAGAGGCGAGGATTTCACCTGATGTGCGCTGTACACCCAAAATGTAAGTTTTGCTTTTAAATTACTTTTTTATGGAAAAGCATAGAAACACCTCTGTTCAGTTCTAAACACTCCTTTCTAGTGTTTGTCACCAAACACTATAGAACTGTGCTAGTGTATGAGACCTAGAAAGTTAAACTGATTAGAAACAACCATACTACTGCTGTAAATGAATCTCATTACTGGGGGGGAAGTACATGAGTATCCATCCAAGAGTTAATGCTCATCCAAGTAGCCTTGTCCCCACAGCTTATACTATACCAATATGGTGTAGTATCTGTCTCCTCCAATGTGGCTTCTGGGATAACTGGGCTGGCAAGGAGAGGTGGGGAAAACCACATAAAGCACAAGGCAGGGCTCCTTGCTCTGCAGGGCTGAGAGCAGAGCTTGGGCTTTTTCAGGGATGTCTCCCATGCCAGCTCTGCTGTCCCTAAATCCCTCCCCTCTGAGGCAAGCATCAGAAGAAACTCCATGAGCTTCATCGCACAGAATTTCCTGAGTCCTCTGTCCCCTTTCTGTGGGAGGATACCATAATCATGATATATTCACTATAATAAATATAAAGTAATACCTAATACACCATGATATTAACACAAGATACACAGAATAATAATGCATTGTTTGCTCTGCAGGTCACCTTAAAACTTAGCATTACTAGGAAGATCATTACATCTACTTGAAAGTCCCTATATTCCGCAAGGTGCAAAGGAGGGGGGTCACTGCCACAAATGTGTCCCTCCTCCATTTTTCTGGAAGGGAGGAAGGGACTCAAACATAAACAAGACACTCCAAGCCTTTTTTTTTTTTTTTAATTCTTCTTTGGAAATACATTTTCATGAGTTTTCTTCCAATTTATAAACTAATACTGAGCCTACTGGGCTGACCCATCATAAACAAGGTTTCAACCCAAAGCAAAAGTCTCTATTTAAGCTAAGAAACACCACCAAACAGGTATTTTTATATAGGAAGGACTGACAGAGCCTTAATTATAGCTGTGAGACCGGCACCTGTGTAGTGTTAAAAGGGGTCTCATGTGAATATAAAATATGGTAAATCAATCAGTATACAAAGTCACATGCAGAAAGTAATCATGTGGAAATTCACTACCTTAGCCAATGGAAAGAGACACTTTTCTATCTCTTATTCTATGCAGAATGCCCTCATCCCTACACAAGTAAGATAAAAATTGAGCTAAATTTCTCTGTCACATGCAGCTGCAGAAAAAAAACGCAGACTATGGAAACTCCTGGTTTGTCAGTAGATGAGCAGAGTTGTATACTTGTGTGTTGCACAGTCACTAGAGCTGGATGAGTTTTGCAAAGCAATTTCCACAAATATATGTTTAAATCTTTGAATACATTTGCTTTGTCCCCACTTTGTGCCCCTTCTGCTTGCTTTCCATTAGCATTCATGTGCTTGACTACTGAGGGCTTTTATTTATTTATTTATTTATTTATTTTTAATAGTGATCCTATTGGGTCTAAAAATGTTCCCCTTTTTCCCTTTTCTGAATTGGCAACCCTTCAGATCAGTTGTTGCAGATCAGTGTAGTAAATTACCGTAAAGAGCTTCTCTTTTTTTAAAAAGGTATCTTTAAATACTGTGCACCCAACATACCTCTCACCTCTTATCCTTGTGATAAAGTTACATTCTTATGTATAGCGCTTTCTGTCTCTGCAGTATCAAACCAGCACAAAGAATGATTTGAAAACATGTTTTCACAAACAGTGATGTAGGTTAATGGAATTCCAAAAGGTCATCTTCTTCTCCACCACCATTCTTTTTATCATTGTGTCCCAATTTTAGGGTCCAACTTTACAGTCCTTGTTCATGTGGGGCTCAATTCTGCAAGGTGCAGATCAACTCCTGGAGGTGCCCTCAAATCCCATTCATACCAGTTTGACCAGGAAGACAAAGGGTGCTCAACACTTTGCAGGACTGGGCTCTTGATTATGAAGTCCTTACTCATGTGAAGTCAATGCGATCACTCATGTGAGCAGAGGCTGCAGATTCAACCATTCAAATTACACATAATTTTGAAGGCAATTGAGAGGTAGGGTTGTACCATCACCTTTTACAGAAATTAGTCACTCTTGTCTGTGTGGCTGTTTCACATCTCTGGGAGGTTTTGTAGGATTTGTCTCAGTGAAGCTTGGGCTATGGCATACAAGTCTGAGGGGAAAACTGCAAGTGAATGCATCAGTTTCTTGATGATGTTCCTCAAACACTGGTGTGCTGCATGTAAGTCTCTGTCAAATCGCTGCCCCTCCAGCTGTAAAGCCATATGCCTGCAGATGTTTCTAAACTCAACGCTGTCCTAAAAGCCAAACCAAAAAGAAATGAGTGATAAGTAATAGTTTAGCCATGCACAGCACATCTTTCTAGACAGAAACTTTCAGCATGAACTTTTGTCTCTGATCTTTACATATTGCTGCACAGTGTTGTGATGTGCAACCTTGTGTCAGTTTCACCTACCCGCTTTTAAATGTCAGCAGTCTCCACTGAACTTTTGCAGCTTTGTATTAAAAATTATCTTTTAATTAATCATAATTTTAGTAGTTTACCTCAAACAACACTTAGTTGTGATAACTGTCTCCGGACTGATTTTATATTCCCTGTGCACCCAAAAGGCCCCCTGGCTTCCTTGAGAACTTTCTCTATAAGCATAATCCATGCTAGGGCCTGTGTCCACTAGGGAAATGCATTGTGTTGAACAACGTGCTAATTAACAAGTTCTAACTAAATGACTTTGCATCTAGTGTAGACCATGCAAACCATGTTTTTGAACTTAGGTGGACATGGTTAACCCTAGGGGGATGCTCACTAATGCTTTTTAAACACAATTTATTCTTGTCTACACTTGGTGCAAAGTAGTTTATCATGTGTGTTAGATGTATTTGTTTTGTTACATAATGAATGTTCCAGATGACCCTTTGGAAAATGTTGGTCTTTGTCCCCCTGTAGAAGCTGCTCCACATAAGAGGCTTATGAGTCTGCTGCTACTTCTAGTTAATATACTTGGTTCTTTCTCTGAAATGGTAAAGGCTCGTGCTTTTAGCTCTCTGAGACCTGAGCTTAGACTCTGCTGTCAGCCCAAAATAGTTCTTAAAGGAATGCATGTTCAAGCCCCTCATGGGCCAAAGCTCCATTATTTCAAATAAAGCCCCATTAAAACTGTGTACAAATGTGGTTTAATCCAGACAGTACCTGCTACACTATGGTAACGTTAAAGGTGATCTGCAAACAAAACGTCAAAAAGGAGTTAACACTGAAATATGTGCTGAATGGCCTCACTAAGCGGGCAGGGGTGAGCAATTGGCACAAAAATAATGCAAAACTAACCAATTTGGTTATAGACCCCCTAGAAGCCCTCTTGCATTAGTTGGAAGTCTGCTGCAGGTGTGGAGATTCCATCATTGTGGAATGTCCCCAACACTGGAAAACTGGGGAGCACTAAGGCAAGACCCTCGGTAAGTAGCAATTTTTTTTCCTGTTAAAAAAAAATGTTTTGATTGTCCCTTTGAAGGTCACCTTTTGAATCCTGGTCTATAAAGCTCCCTTTAGTAGAATTCAGAAATTTTCTAGGTATAAAATCCCTAGTGCAATTTATTTGACCTCTTAATATATTTGACTAAGTAAACAAGCTAGTAATGCCAGCTTTTCCAGGTGTCCAGCACATGGGAACTTTAGGATACAGGACAGAAAATGAAATTTTTTATTCTCTCTCCTTTCAAAAAAAAACTGGATACTAACTAACTGAAGTAAACAGAAAAGTTTGCTTACTTAAAAAAAGCCCTTCTGTATTAGGTTTAGAACAGTGGACTCCTGTGAACTGAAGTGATAGAGGGCAATAGCTCAAGTGGTTCATAGTTTCTATTAAAATACTAACACAATAAATATTTGCAGTGATTTCATTTGAAGTGTTTTCAATTTCAATGCAGGAGCATATCTTTCCTGCAGCTTTTGTTTGTCAGACCCATATGTTTAGACAGATGAGTTAATATCCCACATGGCACTGACAGAGCTACACCAGAATAAGAACTGCATGACTCACTAGTCCTAAATCTCTTAAAATTAGGACTTAAAATATTCAGCTGGTCTTTAAGTGCTTTAGATTTGGCACTTGACACTGAGCTGGATCAGTAGGCCATTTCCACTTGCACAGCTTTTATTTTTGATCACTATTGTAAATATGATATTAACTAGCAAGTGTCATTTAGTTTAGGAAGATGCTACCCTTAACAAGACACCATCAAAGAGGATAAGACCTGTTTACTTCTATTTTTTTTTTTTTTTACTCTTAACTGTTAAATAGATAAGTCAAGTCAATCTTTTCGGTTTGCAGTCAGGAACCTTGTTTTTTTTTCTTAAGCGTGCTCACAAGTGTATGGTCTAGTGCCATTTGTTATGAAGTTGGAATATAGAAGATTGTAAGTTCCAGCCCTGCTCATTTGCTGAATCATAGAATCATAGAATCATAGAATATAAGGGTTGGAAGGGACCCCAGAAGGTCATCTAGTCCAACCCCCTGCTCGAAGCAGGACCAAATCCCAGTTAAATCATCCCAGCCAGGGCTTTGTCAAGCCTGACTCAGTGGCTGTCTACATCAGGCATTTTTACCAAGAATTTTCCACAATTACTATCCCCAGTTCAGCTCCACTGGTAGCAGCAAGGATGGGAAAGCTAGTGCAGACAGTGTTGGTGGTTAATATGCTAATGAATGCCACCATGTTGTGTATATCCGCTGTAAGTAGTGTTAGACACCATGGTGGCTGAAAGGCCTGCAAGCACCCAGTGCCTTGTCTACAATACTGCTTCCATCATTGCTGGTACCTTTGGTGGAACTGAAGCAATGGTGGAAAGTTCTGGCCAAATTCTAGTGTGGACCAGTACTGATCTGAGATGGGGGCCTATCGGTGCTACCATAATACAAATTATAATACATCATAATGCCCTGGTCTTGAAAAAGAACCACAACTGAAGTAAAGTTTTCTAACATAACTATAAGATGGTTTGGCCCCATTTAAATGGACAAGTCCAGTCAATATTAGTAGATGGCGGGAGAGCCATTGTGCATTAAACACAGTAAAATATTTAGGGAAGATAGTGCTTTAAGCTCCTTTCCTTAATTTGCTCATCTATAAAATGCACATAAGTAAGCATTATTGCATAGGGATGTTGAGAGAATTAGCGAATGTTTGTAAAGCATTTTGAAAACATAAGCATTATAGAAGTGCTAAATATTATTTCTCAAAAAATTAAAAACATGTTAGTTTTCTTGGGGTTTTCCCCATTCCTCTCTTCCCTCTCCTCCCTTTGAAAAGAGTTTATTTCCCATTTGTAAAAGGTGCCACAATGACAACACTAAAGATTTGAGTCCTCTCGCTTCAGAAGAGGTATAATGCAAGCTTCCCTGCCAATAAGCCTCAGCTTCTTCTGAAGGAACATCTGTAGGGGTGGTTGTCTTAAAGCCCCTCCAACCATAGTGTTTCAAAACATTTATATTTAGGAAGACTTTAATGTATTGTTTCCTAGAAGTCATCTCTCACAAAAAGTTCTACAGCTATTAATAATTTCTTGTAAAGTCACTGTGTGAAAAAATTAAAACCAGTCATCCTGTGGTTTGCCACTATATAGCCTCTTTCTAACAAAGCAGGCACAAATACAGAGTACAGAGCAATTGTCAGAGTGAAGAGACTGTTAATGTCATGTAGCCATGAGTACCTGTTTTCTCACTGAATTCACAGTGATTCTGGGAACAATTCCAAAAATGATCCCCATACTGTTAGAAATAAAACCAAAAATTGTTCGTTTGTCAACATTTTAAATATATCCAAACAACCTAAAATTGACACTTACAGTTTGCACTTTGGAGCAACCTCTCCATGGTCAGTCTTCATATTAATTACTGTAAGAATGAAAATTCATTGCTAGAAGACACAGGAATTATGTTATATCCTCATTAGCTACCAAAAAGAGTGAGTGCACACGCACACACTTAATTGGTTTAATCTGTGGTGGCAGGTAAAGATTCTGCTGCTGTTCTGTAAGAATTCTGATGAACATAATTTTCTGGTTGCCATCACCACTAAGCCCCTCTTCATGAATCAGCATATGGTCTACTCTAGAGCTGGTTGTTTCATGGGAAAAGAGAACCCTCCCTTTGGGTCCGAAATCAGCTTTCAGAAAATGATTAAGTGTAATTACAAATACTTTATTGCAACAACTATCAGTTCTATAGCGCTTTGGAAAAAATGGTGAAAATCATGTGAGAAAAGAGCACTGGGCTTGTATTGCTAACACTACACCATGACCATTTTCTGACTGAATAATGTGTTGGCATTCCAGTATTTTTTCAAAGATTGTCATAGCTAAGGAGGACTAGCTGGGATACAGAGCCTAGCTCTTCTAGTCCTCCAGTTTGAATCTAGTCTAGGTCAATAGTTTCTAATGTCACATCTGTTGGTTGCTGAGTGAGCTTATGGTTTCACTTCCATTCCCTATATATTGCTCTCCATATAGCAGAAAAACAAAAACCAACAAATCGTGGCACTGTTGCTGACAGTCTGAGACTAGGGCTGCAGACCCTGATTCTGCAAAGAGGTCCCCCTGGGCATACCCTTACGCCTGCACAGAGTCCCACTTCTTTCCTGGTGTATATTAACATAGTTCCATTGATTTCAATGCAGCTATGCCAGTTTACACCAGTTGAGGATCTAACACGGTGAGGCAACCAATAGGCATAAAGGTCCATCCACATGGATCTATTCCTTTATGATCCTGGAGACCCTCTCACACTTAGCGACAGAATACTAGTGGAGAGGCTAGTTCCCCAGAGGTGGGGAACTTGCATTGTCAGAACTGTCCCTCTGCCACTTTCACAAGCACTAGTTTTTTTAGAATACCAAAACTGTTTTGAAACTGTGATAGTTATTTTAAACTTCCTAATATAATTTATATTCCATGTCCAGCTGGCTAAGATCCAGTTTAGTCCAATCCAATCTTGTTATACATTTCTGAGTTACTAATACTTCAGTGAGCCCTCAGTTACTCCAGCTAAGGAGGCAGGATGTTATCAAAGAGCAGTGGTAGTGAAGTCTGCACCTGCCCATAGCACAGGGAAGCTGCACACAGGAATCTTTTCATTTTATGTTTTCTTTTCAAATACACACAAAGTGCTGCCCAAAATCTCTCGCTTTTAGTACTGTACTGACTGATCTGTTCACCCTGCAAGTGCATAATTATGGTAGAGAAACTTCTATTATTTTAGCGTGGATGTCTGAAATCCAGAGTCACTAGTATATTGTTTGTGGATGATGATGCTGGTAAGTGACCTGTCAAACTTAAAGGAAGGTCCATCAGAATTCTCCCAGGAGCTTAACCTTCCATCATAAATTAACACTGAGCCACTTCTCTCAGGCTTCCTAGACCAATATTGTCTGATGCATCTTGGGAGCTGGAAAAAGCATTGCTTTCAGGTCTATGGTAATCTCTGGAGTATGCATGCTTTACTATGTTACAATGTCGGTTGCTTGGATCTTTTTTCACAAGCCACGTATAGCTATAGTTTTGGGCCACTTTTATAGCAACCTGTGACTTTTTTTTTTTCAACTGACACCACCAATAAAAATATAAATAAGACCATCAGATGCATTTCTGGACTGTCTGGAGCAGCCCCGCAGAGCATCAACTGAAGCAAGTAATGAATGTATTTGCAATATGACTGAGACCAAGTTGGCCATTTAGCACTTAAGAGCATTTCTGTGCTCTGAGGATGATTGTGTTTTGGCTGTAGAAAGTGTGACTGAATAGACAGCTGCTATTTTTATTCTGTTTGTGAGGTTATGGCCATGTCATCTGAGAACTGCAGCTAAAAGTTCAGTTGTAAGAGGTTTTTTCATCTAAATTTCCCGGCAGGGTGAACATGTAAACTGAATCTTTGGAATCCAACTGTTTTAAAACTAAAACCTGGAGCAATGAAATTACTCACAGCTAAAAGACCTAATTAAATGACTCAGATTTTATGGAAACACACCACAGAATTTATTTAACCTAGCCATAGAAACTGACCCAGGAAAATCCCAGTGTTCAGTTGGTCCTGATGATGGGCATTCTCTGAAGAAAAGGTCTAACCTGACTTCAAGTAGAATAGTAATATGAGAATCCAAAGTTAATGTTATTCCCAGTGGCTTCTAAAATATACATTCACCCAAGCAGATATTAAAGCTCTTCTGGGAAAGAATAGAAAGAAAATAAAGCCACCTTTGAGGTGGATGTATTTTATCTGGTTAGTATTTGTGCTAATGAAGAATATTATTTATTTTTACATATTAGCAATGATGGTGTCACATTGGAAAGTCAATATTCCAATAAACAATTGTACATTTGTTTTTCACTAGCATAGGAATGCTAGATCTATCCATTTCAGCGGATTTTTTTTTTATCTTGACCTTTTCACTTCACACAAGGCTTTTTCTGCTTTCACCCCTCACCCACCACAAGTGAATTTATTTCTGGTGAAAAGTCTTGGATTAATACCCCTGGAGACTGAAATAATCTAGACCAAAATTTTCAAAGGTAGCCTGTGATTTTTTTTTTAATTTTTTTTTTTTTTGGTGCCTCAGTTGTTGAGTGCACAACTTTTGAGATACCTTGGTTTTGATTTTTCAGAAGTGTTGACCAGCTACAAATTCAGTTGAAGTCAGGGGAGCATGGGTGCTCAGCACCTCTGGGGAAAAAATCAGGTCCCTGACATGTCTCAGACTGGACACCCAAATACTGAGGCACTTAAAATCAGAAGCAACTTCTGAAAATGCTGACCTTGGTTTTTCACTGAATAGATATGGCTCCAGCTGCTGGCAGCAGTGCAAGCTTTCCCCCATAGTGCCTTGCCAATGCCAATCTGCACCTGGAGGGTCTGCCTGCTAAGGTGAAAGGGTAGAGACATCCATATATTGGTTCAATTTGTGGCCTCTCTGTTAGAAAGATCAACAAGAATGTGAACTGGAGTGAAATGTGCTTTTTGTGATGTGTATATCTGTCATGAAAAATTGGACAGAGACTGCAATTCATTTTACATAATAAGTCTTCCTAAGGTAATGACTTTTGGCCACAATCAAGCCGGACCAAATTTGAACCCAGAGACCAACAGGTGATGTATCACACACGCATGAATTACCCAGTCCCCTATGCATGGCTTTTTCTTGACTGTCAAAGAGCCACAAGAATTTTTCTTGTGATAATATGCACCGCCCTTTTACCAGCAAAATGAGGACCTCTTCTTACATATGTTCACTGAATCTCAGCTATAGATATAACTTGTCATTCTGGCATCATATGTGCTGGTTCTCTTATTCGATGAAAATCGACATTTCACTTACAAGTCACTCTTTGTCTCTTCATATTTGTTGACTTGGGCTCTTCAGGTACCATAACAGCAAATGGAAGTTTGAGGCTTTATGTGGAAAATGTAAATATCTCCTAAAAAAATTTCTACGCTTCCTAATTGATGGTTTAAAGCATCACTAACCCCAACTACAACAAAAGAGCATTTGTATCCAGTACCCCTGCAGTGCTAGCACAAAGGTTTGTCATTGACTTTACAATTATTTTGTAAACTCTGTACAATCCTAAAGTGATTTGCAGTAATTACTTCATTGTAAATTAATGTAAATAAAACTGCTCCAGTCAGTCCGGCAGAATCCAGCATATACAAGGATGCCCCAAACAGTGCAATTAACTGCCCATTTGCAGAAGGAAGCCCAGGACAAGAGTCCTTTGATCTCTCACTACTTACTTTTAGGTGAATAGGAAAAGGATGTTCCTGAAAGAGAGGGAGCAGGAGGGTCTGTTCCACCCTGACAAGCTGGGATGTTGAATCTACTATTCGGGACAGCATGCTGTGCACAGCAATCTGGGTAAGTGTTCGGGGCCTGGCTGGGTCCAGCTGTCTTGAATCCTTTGGCCCAGGCTCACCTGGGTTAGAAAGAGCCTGGGATCCACATTCTTCTTCTCCTTCTTCCTCCTCAGAGGTTTTGCTTGCTGCTCTTCTGCCTTCTTCCTGCTCCTGAACCCGACTAGACCTGGCTGCTTCCAGACCCTGTCCCATGTCATGCAGAGCTGGGCCAGACATACCTGTGCTGAGCAGTGAAGAGGCCTGATCCAATTTGTAGTGGGGGTGGCAGGGTCTGGCATCCTCATCCTCACCTTGCTGCTGGTGGTGCAAGAGCTGCAGGGTTTGGAGAGCAACCAGCTGGTGGTTGAGAGAGACACATAAAGGTACTGATCTGGCCATCTGCTCTCTTGCCTCTGTTCCCCTCCACCGGATGGAGTGTTTCTAAACCTCCTTTGGCCTTTTCCCTCCCCCTCTTCCCACAGTGGGTGGCCGCCTGCCCCTCCCCTTCAGCCTGGGGTCAATAGCCCTGGTTCATTTCAGCACTTGTTAAAAGATCAGCCCTTCACTGTATTTCTTGGACCCAAGCTCCAGGGAGCTTCTTATGTGTACATTTCAGACAGACAGCTGGTTTCTTCTCCTTTCTGGATAACTACCTGCATATGCACTGTATTTTGTGTGGGTGCCTAAATCTGTAACACATTTCTTTTAATGCGTTTGCACTAGTTGGTATAAATCCTTATGTGGTCTCTCCTGGGATGAGATCTATCAACTCTCTCTCATTTGGGGGATGAAGGAGGGAAGGGAGTCTTATTTTGGACTTGTGTAGGCAATTTTTAAAGTCTCTCTCCCTTTGGTGAGGAAGGATTTTACAATGTGTTTCAGTGAGTAATTTTAAAATGAGAGTAGGGCCAGAAGCAAAACCAAACACCTCCAAACTTCAGGGATGTTAAGAGCCTGGTCTGAACTCTGCAGCTCAGTCTCAACTCTATGTATCAACAGGCTCACAGTAGTTTAAAATTGCTTTCATTCATGTTGCTCCCCATTTGACAACTAGGAGACACATAAACATAGTTGTAATGGTCCCTCACTCTCCCGCTCGGAGGGAGGCCATTCAGGCTGGTCCTGTCTGGCCAGGACCAGAGTCTGCAAGACAGCCAAGAGCCCACAACAGGGCTGGCCGATTAATAGTCACTGTCAGGCTTTAGCCTGGGGTTGGGTAGCTCAAGTAGTCAGCCCTTAAATAGAGTCTATCCGCGCTGGCTTTGGCCTGGACAGAGCTTAGCAAACAAAACCATCTCTAAGGGTGACTGATAAGGGAAGCTCCTCTTCAGAGCTAGAGCCTCCTTGCCCAGTGTAGGGGGTCAGCCACCCCAGGGTGGGGTGGCAGGGGGACGCAGGCCCACCCTACTCCACTGTGTCCCAGCCCAGGGCCCTGGCAAGATTGGCTGCCCCTGTGTCGGCGGGGATCCAGCCGCAACACGCCAACTGAGCCACACCTGGCTCTGCAGCCAGCCGCTCCGGGGCTGCCCCTGGGTCACTTCCTGCCACCACAGGGTTCGGTACCTTTAGCCTCCAGACCTCTTCCGGCTCCGTGGGGTAGATGGCAGCAGGCACTCTGGGCCAGTCCTTGTCGGCGTCTGCGGTTTGGGCACCACCCGGCAAGGGTTCCTCTCAGGGACACAGCCAAACCAGCAGAGCATCCTTCTCCTCCACAGGCTCTCCCTTAACTGTACTGCAGGGCCAGCCTTTTACACTTCCAGCGAGGGGTGTGGGGCGATCTAGGCTCCACCCTCCCACGGGGAGTGTAACGGTCCCTCGCTCTCCTGCTTGGAGGGAGGCCAGTCGGCCTCACTACAATAGTGTAAACAAGGCTTCTGGATTGACTCTGGATTGACGCTGGTTTTCCAAGAGAGAAGAAGTGCCTGCTTCTCGGAAAAGGGACACTTGTGGTGAAATGGATCATAATTATTTTGTATATTAAAGCTGAAATTGTTGTTGGTAAAGTTAAAATGTTTATTTCTCTGCTTTTATTGTTGTTTTATTATGAACTCCAGGAGCATCAAATAATCTAAACCTGTAAGCTTGACAGTGCTCTTTTTGGAGCGAGGAAAAATCCCTATTCAAGCAGGAAAGTAGTTGGAAATAGGAAGGGTGAAAGAGTCCCACCTGAAATAACTCCAAAAAAAGGCATTTCTGGCTTTGGAAAGTGAGCCAGAAGGATCCTATATGTTTTTATATATGGTCCCCAGGAGACTTAAAACTGTAAGATTTGATGCTAAACCTATTTCTGTGCTGTGAAACCAGGGACAGCTGTACAAATATTTGCTGTTTTTAATTAAACCTAACATTGCTACTTCCTTGATTTAAGTTAGGGCAAAGGACTGGCAATTTTATGTTTTGATAGATGAGGAAAAACAGTTGTGGGTGTTGTGTTTTAGAAAAATGTTATAAAACAAGAAATCCGAGGGGAAAGGCCTCAAAGGCTATCACAGCGCAATCCTTGTGCTTCCTCGGTCAAATCTTTTTTTTTTCCGTATCTATTCAGCAAATGTTTCTATTGGAATTCTGTTTTTTCCTTGAAAATCTTATATCTAAACTTTTCATTTGGTCCCAAATTAAACTTTAGCTCATGTTCTCTTCTTTTCATATTCTTTATAAATGTAAAGTGGTTTGCTTTGATTGGGGATTCAGTTCTGAATTCTAATGCCCTACTGAGGTCAGCTGGCTCAATGCCTCCCAGTGCTTCCACCGGGGAATTATTACTCCTCACTGCCCCCTACTCCAGGCTCTAATTTAATATCACAATCTGGTCCAAAATCATAATCCAGGAAATGGACTTGAGATGAGAAGGAGAGAAGTTGCTTTTATTTATTTATTTATTTAGGGCAAGGAGGCAGTTTTTGCAAAAATGGAAATCCAGGCGTATGTATAACACGAAATGGCCAGTCTAGAAAGAATTTGTGTATGGACTGAAATTACGCTAGAACTGAAACTGGCCTTCTCTGAAACTGCTGAATTTATTTCAGAGAACTCCGCTCAATCTTTTGAGAGGTTTATGATTAATCAATAGATATGTTGTAATGAGAGATTTTTGCTTTCAGCTGTTTTGAAAAACCTTGCAGCACTCTGATAAGAAGCTTGCAGAAGAACCTCGGAAGGGGTTTAAATATCATGAAATTACATTTCTTTTAATTGGTCATAAAAAGAGTGGTGACAGTACTAGGACCCTTTAGTTTGCATGAATAGTCATTAGTTTTAAGATTAAGGCTCTAATTAAGTAGAAATTATTGTGAGTTTAAATTTAGAAAATCCAAGACGGCTGACCAAGATGGTGGATATAGGGATAATGTAGTAATGGGGAATGACTCAGCAAAGTCCTAGAATCCAAGATGGCATCAGGGGAGGATCACTTCTAGAGTGACAGCATGCTAATTACAGGCAAACACATGTGACATTATGTTAATAAAAGGGGAGGATCTAGACAAGAAGAGGAAATATGCTAATATCTGGAAGCTGATTGGTTTTACTCCTAGCTCCGTCAGCCATGCTGCATGACCTTGAACTAGTCACTTCACCTCTTGGTGACTGCTTCCACCCTTCGTCTAGTTAGATTTGTAAGCCTCACTTGAAATTTGCCAGCTCCTGGAACTCTGTCCTGAGCCTCTCGGGGGTCATACTCCATACAATAATACAACTACAACAATAATGGCAACTAGAGCCCTCTGCCACCACACCATTTCCCAGTATGAATGAAGTTAGAATGGACTAAACTTCCAGTAAGGCTGTAGGGAGGCTTCTGTGATATGCACAAGCAGTTTGATGGGCCAGTGATGAGCCAGGGCTGCTCAGCCCCTCCGTGGGAGGGGACAGGCTAAGTTTTGGAGCTAGTGTTCTGTTTCTTTTCAGTAGTGATCCAGTGTTGGACAGCTCAGTCCAGCTGCCCCTTATCTATCACCTCCCACAATTCTACAGATTTGTGATTGGCCCCCACATAGGGGCTGCTGCAGCTCCTAGGGAGACTGGGGCTGCAGGCAGGCTGCTCTAGGCCAGGCACGTTGAGACCTGCAAGGTAGGGGTGCAAGGCCAGTGCTTCCTTGGCCATAGGGGGAGGAGAGGATGGAAAAGAAAGTCCCAGCTGGTCCAGTCTGTTCAGGAAAGGGAGGAGGGCGGTTTCTGCCAGTCAAGGTCTGTATGGGGTAAGGGGGAGGGAGGAAAGGTCCTGGCTGGCCCTGGTTTCTCTGCGGGAAGGAGAGGGAGGGAGAAGTCCTAAAAATGTGAAGGGGGAGAATCTCTCTCACATACACACACACACACACACACACACACACACACCCACCCTCCTTAGGAAAATTCTGATTGTGCCCCTGCAGTCAGGCATCTGGTACCTGCTCACGAAAGGGATGTGCAATGGGGAGGGGATAACTATGAACTGGGGGGTACCCCTACCTCCCCACCTCTTTCAGGCATCCAGCACACACACCCTACCTCCAACAGGCACCCATTACCCTTGTGCCCCCTGCATCTTCCTAGACACGTAGCACATGCAGCCCCTTGCTTCTCCACCTTTCGCAGGCATCTGCCCCCTAGCTCCCTTCATCTCCCAGCCCACCTCAGTTCTCTTCAGGCATTGATCATACACAGCCCTTTATAGAGGCCCTGGCACACGCACGCACTTACTTTTGCTTGCTTTCTGATCACTGGTTTTGAAAAAGTCTTGCACAGAATTTGAATTGCAAGAGATTCGATGGAGGATGATTTGGTGCAAACTAGCCTGTTACTTGAGTGTGAGAGCACAAGTGTGTTACTGGGGTCTGGCTACAAATCACTCACCCTGTCCCTCCAGAAAGAGGGGAGACACTGCATGTGGCTCTTCCTCACTTGTCTTACCTTGTGGGGTGAGATGGGTCATGTATTGAGACTTACTTTGACTTTGCAGAGTGACTGTGTGTTTGTCCATCCCTCCTTCTCACCCCTTATCCCTATGTCTGCCTGTAGTGTCCACTCGCTGCTCTGCATGGACCGGTTTCTCTCCACATCTGTCTCTTTCTTTCTGCCTTCTTAGCCCCTTTAAGTCACAAAAGATACTCAAGATACTGTTAAATGTTTTAAAATTTTAGATTTAACTGTTTAAAAAGGAATCGGATTTTTCTACCAACTTAAGTTTTATATATTTGCCAACTTTTTGTTTTGGCTTAACCCAATTTGGCAGCAGTACCAAGTGAGAGTGCTGTTTGGAGCCAAGAGAGAAGCAGAACTGCCTAGGTGGTCTCTGATTAACTCCCTCTCCCTGCAAACAGTCTTTGAACTGCTGTGGGAGCTAGTGCATGGGCCAGACAGTTCCAGCCCTGCAGAGAGCAGCATTCAGAGCTGCAGAGATCCATGAGCCAGCCAAGGCCTCC